TCAAACTGAACTGTGACCCAGAACTCCCTTTTTTCCTTGTTGCTTCTGTTCATGTACGTGGGAAAGCCTTTGATTCTTTAGCAGGACCAGAAACCAGTGCATCAACAACTGAGCACTGAGCGCAGGACTGCTAACAAGGAGTCAGACTGAGTACTAGGCATGTAAACAGCTTATAACATTCACTCCCCATTACTCTATGACACAGGTAATATGAATATTTCTAGGTTATAGAAAGAACAGAACAAAACTCCAGAAAAAAAAGACTAAACAAAATGGAGACATGCAATCTATCAGATGGAAAATTCAAAACACTGGTTATAAAAATGCTCAATAAACTTAGGGGAGAGTAAATGAACTTCGTGAGAACATCAACAAAGAGAAAGGAAACATAAAAAAGGAAGTAGAAAACATGAAAAAGAACCAGTCAGAAATGAAGAACACATTACAAGGATTCCACAGTGGTGTAGATGAATCAGAGGATGTGATCAGTGATTTGAAAGATAAGGAAGCAGAAAAACATCCAAGTCAGAACAGTAATAAGAAGAAAAAAAATCCTCCCAAAATGAAGATAGTATAAGGAGCCTCTCGGACAACTTGGAGCATACCCACATTTGTATCATGGAAATGCTAGAAGGAGAACAAAGAGCAAGAAATTGAAAAACTATGTGGGAAAAAAGAAGAAAGAAAAAGAAGAAAGAAAGAAAGAAAGAAAGAAAGAAAGAAAGAAAGAAAGAAAGAAAGAAAGAAAGAAAGAAAGAAGAGAAAGCGAGCGAAGAGGGAGGGAGGGAGGGAGGGAGGAGGGAGGGAGGGGAGGATTGAGGGAGGGAGAGAGGAGAAAGGAGAAAGAGAAAGAAAGAAAGAAAGAAAAAGAAAGAAGAAAGAAAGAAAGAAGAAAGAAGATGAGGATCAGTAATGAAGGGGAAGAAGGAAGTGACGACTAAAGAAATAACTAAAGAAAGAAGACGAAAAAAAGAAAGAAAGTAAAGGAACAAGAAAAGAAAGAAAGAAAGAAAGAAAGAAAGAAAGAAAGAAAACTTCCCTAACCTGACAAAGGAAATGGACATAAAAGCCCAGGAAGTTCAAAGAGTCCCAAACAAGATGAACCCACAGAGACCCACACATCAGAATTGAAATGGCAGAGGTTAAAAATAAAGAGAGAATCTTAAAAGCAGCAAGAGAAAAGCACTTAGTTTTCTACAAGGGAACTCCCATGAGACTGTCAGTTGATTTCTCAACAGAAACTTTGCAGGCCAGAAGGGAAGGGCATGAGATATTCAAAGTGATAAAAAGCAAGGACCTACAACCAAGATTACTCTTCCCAGCAAAGCTATCACTTAGAATCAAAGGACAGATAAATAGCTTCCCAGACAATGAAAAATTAAGGAGTTTCATCACCATCAAACCAGTATAAGAAATGTTAAATGGCAATAGATACATATCTACCAACTATTACTTTAAATGCAAATGGATTAAATGCTCTAGTCAAAACACATAGGACAACTGAATGGATAACAATACAAGATCCTTATATATGTTGCCTTCATGACTCAGTTCATATCGAAATTATTCATACAAAAGTTTAGTTTTATCACCAGTATATTTCCCCCTCCCCCCCCCCCCTTTTTTTCCAGGTAACCAAGCTTATCTGTAATTATAGCTGCATATTATTTCTAAATGACAGAGAAGCTTATATAAAATAAAGATAGAATAATTTGATAAATTATATTAGTAAGTCCTTTTCAAACCTTAGATACTGTTTAAAATATCTTCTAAATATTCTAAAAAGGAATAGAAAAACCTATCTTTATTTTTCTCTATGAAAGTTACCCAAACCATCAATTAACATGTTTCAAGTTTTTTTAACGTTTAATTTTTACACATGCATTCATTATTTCTTATCTGAAAATGGCAATTGCTTTGTTCAATTTGATCTCAGTTGGATTTTTAAAAATCATTTCTGCTAAGCCAGATATGATATGTGACAGAACTGGAAATTCTCACATTTCTTTAATTTTTTTGTTTAATTATTATGCTTAAAAGTAGGGCTATGGTTAGGTCATTTTATTCTATTTACTAGTATATTGTCACAGATTAAGTTTTCTTACTATATTTTAAAATCTGTTATTAATTAAAAAACATTAAATGATAAATTGAAATATTTTAGTTTAGAAGTAAATATCTGGCTTCTATATCCTAAGTCACTAGGGAGATTGATTGTTTAATCATCTATTTTTAAAATAAACTATAAATCAGTTTGGTTACTTTCATAAATGATTTAAATCTAACTTTTTTATTCTTATATACATTTTTGCATGCTGATCCTATGAAAACAAGATGGCTTCTTACTTAGAAATAAAGATAATCTTTATAATCTGAAGTTCGATTCATAATGAATTGATCAATGCTTCTCAAATTTTCTTGCATACCAATCACTGGTTATCTTGAAAAAATGCAAATTCTGATTCATATTCTGAGATTCAAACACATAAGACTCTAGGACATCTAATGGTAATTCAGCAGGAACTCTGGAGGGTCATAGTTAACATGCAAAATCAGTTTACTGCGAGTACGGTGAGGTGACTCTAGAAAGAGCATGTGTGCCAGAGATAATCAGAGATGGCTTCCATCCCTTCTCTGACAAGCTTTCACTGTTTAGTCATAGACGCATTCTGATTGTTTTGTCAGTCTGCCTTCTCGGTATTTCAGACACCTCTAGGCACTTGAAAAATAGCGATTGATTAAGAGTCCAAAAGAAATAGACAATTTTAATTCAATTTAACAAACATTATTGAACAAATGCTAGGAGCCTACTGTTAACATGACTTGTTCCTTTCCGAAAGTTAAGGGAAAAAATTATATGATATATAAACATTGGCATTACCATTTAGGAAATCTGTCTGATGGCCTAAAAATAAACATATTTTTATTCATTTAAAATGTTTTATTAGCCAAAATTTAATGTTTTTATTTTGCTCAACATTCTTAGTTATTCCTAAATTTTGGTGGTAGATCATGCAACCACATGCTTCTCACTTTGACCTCTTCTAATTAAATCAGAAAAAATGTATTTGGCCAGATGTATGCTGCATAGTATAACAGCTTTGTTACTGTGTCAATGATTATAGGATTCAATTGTTGATGCAAATTGGGACCAAGAAACTAGACATTTCAGAAATTAAATAAGATATCTATGATAATACCTGCTTTTGGGGAATATTCCAAGATAATGATGTAGGAACAATCTGACAATGTACCATGAACTATTCTAAACCCAGATGTGGTCCCTTCCACTAACCTGAGGACAGAGAGCAGAACCTGTGACTAGTAATAAACCCCATAGCACCAGCTGGTTTTATAAAAGTTATAGTTGGCTGATATTTGCTGTGCTTCAAATTGGGTAATTAATTATATTAGTTACACTGCATGTAATACACATACTAGAAACAATGATATGTTTGCAATGCAACAAATATTGTTTTGTTAATGTTAATGGATGTGATATGCTTACCAACCCTCTTACCTTTCTTGCCTTCAAAACTATTGGCATTAACATTTGTTTACATAGTTCTGGCCGGGTGGTGAAGTTGGTTGGAGCATCATTCTGTACATTTAAAGGTTTCAGGTTTGATCATGGGCCTGGGAGCATACAGAAGGCAACAGATTTCTCTCTTTTTCTCCCTTCCTCTCTCTCTAAAATTAATAAAAACATATTCTCGGGTGAGGACTAAAAAAAAAAATAATTACCAATGAATGCATAAATAAGTGTAACAAACTTATGTTTCCCCCCCCCCCCTCTAAAATCAACCAAAAGAAAGAAAGGGAAGAAAGAAAAGGAAGAAACTAATTTCAGAGTTTCCCCTATTACAACAATCTGATATTTGCTTTTGAGTATTTCTGAGTTTCAGCGAAGATATAATAAGAATCATGTTATGCCGAAATCAGTTTGGCTCAGTGGACAGAGCATCGGTCTGTGGACTGAAAGGTCCCAGGTTCAATTCAGGTCAAGGGCATGTACGTTGGTTGTGGGCACATCCCTGGTAGGGGGTGTGCAAAAGGCAGCTGGTCGATGTTTCTCTCTCATCGATGTTTCTAACTCTCTATCTCTCTCCCTTCCTTTCTGTGAAAAATCAATAAAATATATTTAAATAAAAAAAATCACTTTATGAATGATTGGGACTTCTTAAACAGCTACCCTTCCATTGTGACTGTCTGATTATATGCATTTTAGGACCTTTAATTGGGTCTGATCTATGAAGCCTTCACCTTTCCACTCCACTGGGCCAAGAACCAGTGGAGGTGGGCGGGGTCTTCCAGCACAGACCCGTGTGGGTAGCGCTGGGGCAGGAAAGCTGGCAAAGGTTGTCAGGGTGGAGCACCCTGCTGGCTGGCGGCCGGAAGTGATAAATTAGAGCAGGTTTGCAAAGCCAGGGAACTGGCTTCCGTTTTGCTAACACCACGTCCACTTTTCACCAGAAAGCTGCCTTTTCAAAATGCACAGTGAATAGTTAAAGTTCCTTTTGCTATTCTTCAAACCAATGGGCATTGAAGCGCTTCTGATTCTTTTTTTTAATCTTTATTGTTGAAAGTATTACATAAGTCCCCTTTTCCCCCCATTGACCCCTACCAGCCTGCCCCGCCCAGGCCTTCACCCCCCTGTTGTCTGTGTCCATGGGTTATGCATACATGCACACAGTTCTTTGGTTGATCTCTACCTCTCCCCACCCCCTCCTTACCCTCCCCTGCCTTCCCTCTGAGGTTCCATGTCTATCTGATGCTTCTATGTGCCTGGAAGTCAGCAATGACCTCCCAGGTGAGGTCAGGAGAAGCATCACCTGTGTCAGTCAAAAGCAATGGCATTTATTCCGGTGCGTGGACGTGGTACCGGGAGGCGCGTGTCACCAGTACCTCGTGGGTCAGGAAAGTGTTGGATGGATGGACATGAGCTGTGAGGACGCCCTTGTGGAGAGCCTGCTCCCATCAACCACATCTTTTTTCTCCAGAGTGTTTGTCTTGGAGGACGGCAGCCTGAAGATCCAGAATGCCAGTAGGTCAGACGCCGGGCCCTACACATGCGTGGCCACCAACCCATTTGGGGTGGCAAGGAGTACGGGCAGCCTCGTGGTGAAAGGTATGTGGTCTGTGCGGGCAGACTGGAGACGCATGTGCACACCTGGCCTCAGTCATGTCAAACCCATGTCCCACTGTGTATGGGTGACATTTGATTTCACCCTTTATTGAGTTGTGTTCCATGTTCATCAATAAGGTGCTCTCTGGCCATGGCCGAGGGGCGCTTGCTGGCAGTGAAACTGCTCTGAGTGGGTAATGAGAATTAAATCCTGCACCTAAACATCTGAATTTCCACAGGTGCCTCAGGGCAAGAGGGGGAGGGGGAGAGACATTCTGATCAAGTCAATGGATACTATTGCTCTTGGTTAAATGTCCTTCAGAAACTCGCGTTTTGTATGAAAGTTTTCCCTGCAGATGAGCTGCTTGGTGCATGGCCAGTTGTTATTTCTCTAGCCCCTGTGGTTAACCAGTGAGACGCAGGCTCTCTGGCACACACCTCAATGAGCAGGGTTTCCAAAGGGGAGACCATTAAAATACCGGTGTGGGTGCAGGTCGCTGTTGTGTCCCATCACGGCAAACAGACACACTCACACCGGCCATTCCTCAGCTTCCATCCTGGCGTCACTCCGAGCCCACCCCTCCATCGCCCAGGGACACAATTAGGGAAGCAGCGTCTGCTCCCCGGCTTTGCCATTTCACTGTGTGGAGCCTCAGCTCATAAAACCAGCATGTTTACTGGGACCATGTCGCTGTCATGGTTCTGCCGCCTCCCGGATGATAAAAATGACGGTCTTGATAAAGCAGTTTGAGCAGCTAATTAAGCCCAGATGATTAAACTCAGCCATTGGTGCTTTATCATCATTTTTATGAAGAATAAATGTATTCCGTAGAAAGGAATTAGGGGCCGCGCTCCCGCTATCCTTTAAGCTGCCTACAGAAACAAACACCGCAGGGGTTCTGTCCACACTGCCTCACACACTGTGCCTTTGTCTGTCTGAGACACTGGGACGTGCTGCTGGTGTCCACCAGGGGGCGCGATCTGAGGACGTCACTTCATTGATGTTGTATTGTCTTAAGGTTTCTAAGACAGAAGTGGACAGTGTTTCAAGGAGTGTCTTTAGCTACTTTAATAAAAGGATGTTTCTCCAGCCAATGTCTGGTAGTGTCCCTGGGCTGAGAAGTGTAAGTGCTCTCCGTTGGAAAAAATAACATGTTCATTAAGGGGGAAACAAGACTTATTGCCTCATTCAAATTAAGAAGGAACTGGGCCGGCCTGGCTCAGTGGTTGAGGGTAGACCTATGAACGAGGAGGTCAGGGTTCAATTCCCGATCACAGCACGTGCTCTGGTTGTGGGTTCAATTCCCAGTGTACAGGAGGCAGCCAATCGATTCTCTCATCATTGATGTTTCTCCCTCTCCCTTTCTCTCTGGAATCAATATATATATTGATTAGGCTTGGTTCATTTCCAGCAGCAGGTTGGAACCTGGGGAGGGTAAGAAGTCACTGCACCTCACCTTCCCAGGATAAGAAATCCAGGGGGAGTCTCACAGGAAGGACGAAGGATGGGGGACAACAGCCAAAGAAATGTCATTTCTCTGCATTTCTGTGAAATACGGGGCGGGAGGGGGGCGTGGAGGTGGGGGGGCTGGACCAATGGTTTTGCTGCTAAGATACAATGCTGGGGATCTGTTCACTCCACAGATTAAGAAAATCTGTGGTAGACTGAGCCAATGAAGTTTCTCTTCCTCAGATGTTTCTCATGATGCTGCAGGAATCATTAACGGGAGGAAGAGAAAGGAGGACACTCACTAACGGAGAACCTGGGGGAGCAGGCCTGTGCTTGGTTCTGAGACAGAAAGCGGGGGTTTCAGAGGAGCCGTGTGGCCAGGCTTCTGCTGAGGAGGTCCCAGCTCTGAGGATGGAGACAGGGATCTTCACTGGGGCTGCCTGCCCCACAGACTACACCCAATTCCCAAGGACTCCTCTTCCTCTTTGCGTGAGAAAAGAGCTAAACAGGATTGCTCAGTGGGGAAAAACAACGGACTCATTTTTTGCTTATTTCTGGTGTTTCTCCCTGGGGCTGTGGAAACAAATGATCCAAGCAAATGATCCAAGTCGGCATTCGTGGTCGCCTTCATCTTCTCCACTCTTCCTTCTTGTGGAAATGTTTTCTTCTTCTAACAAACTAACTGTTCTCTTATTTATTAGGTCAGCCATTTTCCCTCTTCTAGTAGAGAAGCAGGAGGAAGGCAGGGACGGTCCTAGGAACTGTATGTGTCCAATAAATATTGACTGATGGGAGTGCAAGAGTCCTACTTTCCACCCCTTCATTCACATAACTTCTTTGCTCTGGAATCTGAAAGATTTCAATGTGTCAGGGTTTAAGCTTCTTAGAATACTTTGCAATACAGAATATCCTGGCCAGTGGATCAGTTGGCTGAAGAATCATCCCATAATCCAAAAGATTATGGGGTTCGATTCCCAGTCCGGGCACCAACATAGGTTGCAGGTTCAGTCCCCACCCAATCAGGGTGTGTATAGGAGGCAACTGATTGATGTTTCTCTCTCCCCATCTCTCCCTTCTTCTTTCTCTCTCTCAAATCAGTAAATATATCTTTAAGTGAGAATAGAAAAAAGAAAAAGGAAGAAAAGTCTTATTGCCATACCTTCTTAATGATACTCCTACCTGTAATTCCCTTTCATGTTAGACTATTAAAGGTATCACTGCCAAAAAATTACTACTTTACAACCTGCAAATGTGAAATTTTAATCTGAGAAAGAATTATAATAGTTTGCATTGGTGCAACCATTTTCTTGACTATTAAGAGTGTAGGCAACTGGTTGTGTGTTAAAATGGTTTAGTGCATACGCATTTGCGTGTGTGCGTGTGTGTGTGTGTGTGTTCTCATCTAGAATGTCCATCTGATTGTCATTACACAGTCAACTATAATTATCTGTCTCAAACCCAAATCATCACATAATGACCTGCAGGGTGGTAAGGAGCAAATGGGAAATTTTAGCAAAGCTGACAAAACAATCATCTCTCTTTGAATTTCTTTATCAGCCTCAGTCATGCAAGACGTGTTGTTGTTAGATAGCTTGTAAGGAGATAATAGTTACAAGAGGGAGATGCTCCCAGCTTAGTTTTTAGCTGATAAGGCTTATCTGTGTTTAGAGGGTTTTGAAGTTGTCTGAGCTGCATATCCGAGATATTTCTGTTTCCCTGATGCTCCGGAGGAGGCCATTTCCACTCAGACGTCAGAGCTTCCTTAGCACCAGCCATTCCTGGGCGTGGAAGGCAGGGGCGTGGAACAGGGAGGTGTGGAAGGCAGGGTATGGGAACGCAGTGACATGGAACACAGGGACGTCTTCCATGGCACACATGGGCATCAGAGGAGAGGGAGCTCATGCTGGCGGACTCGGATTGGGATTACGTGGCGAATACACTGAAGACCACAGGAGCGGGGGGGATTACTCGATCTGGCACTCGGAGAATTATTAAAGGCGGAGGCACAGCAGGCTGTGGAACGGCCTCGTTCGCAGGCCGCATTTGTTTTCCTTCCCCCGCCGGAGAAGTCGGGGATGTTCAATTATAGGCCTCATTGCCTCAGCGTTATTTTCAACGGAGACGTTGGGACTCGGAAAAGCATATCTAATGTGCGAATTAAGTTTATTGCTGTTCGTTTAGTTGTTTATTCTTCGTGCTAGAGTCCTCTGACGCCCGCTGGGCCGGCTGTCCACGCTCAGCGGCAGCGTGAACCTGGAGCTGACGTGGGTCTCTCTTACCGAGAGGAACTCCCAGGCGGTGGCACCTGCGGCGTAAGGGCCGGAGGGTGAGGTCCAGCTCCAAGGAGAAGCGGCTTCGAGTCCATCACAAGGACAACTTCCCGGAAATGCCAAGGATTCACCCGCCAACGTATGGATGGAAACAACTTCCAGAGAAGTCTCCCAGCTCTGAAGTCATTGGCCCTGAAAAGACTGAATTCTCCACCCAGCCCACTCTCAGGGGTTTCTCCTCCTCGGATTTCATACACCGTCCAGCAGTGCCTACTCGACATAGAATACCAGCTCTCCGCTTCCTAGTTTTACTAAAAATAGATGGGTGACTGCTAGACTCAGGGGCAACCATATGGTGAGGCATAAAGACATCAAATCATTGTGAGGTACACCTGAAATGAATATAACCAATTTAAGATTGTGGACCAACTATACTTAAAAACAAAACAACAGCAACAAAAAAACACACTTAAAAATAAACAATTTTAGCCAGCTGCTCACTTAGTCCCGGCGGGGAAGGTGTCTGAAGGTCACGTGGCCCTGTCTGCAGTCCCCTCTGGAGCCTGCACCCCTCACTGTTTCTATTTTATAAAATACATATTTCTATTGATTTCAGAGAGAGGGATAGAATCATCAATGATGAGAGAAACATCATTGGTCAGCTGCCTCCTGCCCGCCTCCCACTGGGAATGGAGCCAAAATCCAGGCATGTGCCCTGACCGGTAATCAAACCAGTGACCTCCTGGTTCATAGGTAGACGCTCAGCCACTGAGCCACGCCGGCCGGCATCCCGGTTCTACAGGGAAGAGTGGCTCTTTATCCTCTGGGGCTGTCTCGGAGGAATGTGGGTCATTCCTAGGAAAAGACCCTCAGACGTGAGTCTGGTTCTCAGTCTGGATCCTGAAAACTCCGGAGGCAGATGGCAGGTTCTTTCAGGCCCGAAGAGGAGTGGGGCAGGGGGAGGGGAAGTCATCCCAGGAGTGAAACTGGCCTGGGGTCTCCTCTTCTGGCTTTTATTATCTCATTTCGTCTCCCCTCACCGCCACGCACACTCAGAAGCAAGCGTTCTTTGCCTACTGTGCCTGCACCGGGGACAAAAGAGTCTCCTTATTCCATTTGCCGCCGAACCAGAGGATCCTTCAGCCCGGGTGTTGTGACAGCCTGTCTGAGCCGACGCTTTCTCTTTATCAGAAATCTAAAGTGGGATGCCGCAAACAGCCATCGCCTATTGTGTGGGAGCAGCTTAGGAATGAGGAGCTGGCGTGTCGGCTTCATTAGCGGAT